ATTTTGTAGTCGAGCTATGTAGACTTTTCTTTTTTATGAATGCTTGATTTATAGTGAGTCACAATAAATTATACTATTTATAGTGGTTTAATAGAACTGGTTTTATGATAAACGGTGCTTAAATGTGAAAGCATCAGTTTAGATTCTGAAATCCACGCATTATCTCTCACATGTATTTAGAATCTGCTTGTCGCTTTTGAGTAATTTTCACGTTACTATGGTTACGCTAATGCATTACTAACATTCGCCAAGGTAAGTATGACAAATGAATCCTCCGTAAACAAACCCTGATTAAAGGGCTTTAGGTTAGAGTCTTTATATTTAAACGGAGATGATGATACTTAGATTAATATATCAGAAGACTTCCCGTGATATTTTTAAAGGTAGGAGAATAATCCTTTTATGAGAATGATCCTTTTAACAAGGTTAATTTCAAGGAAAAGGATTAATTACGAATCAAATAAAAATTAAAGATTTTATTAAAAATTGAAGAATTATTCGTAATTTAAGGAAATATATAAACGCTCATTTGTGTATATATGAAAGAACATTTGTTGTAACCATTTTACATTAATGAATTCTGTGTTTAAGATCAGATTACAATTTGTCTAGCAAATGTTATTCATTGCTTAAAGTAAGTACAATTACGATGCAAACGTATACAGAAATAGTAACAAATCAGACTATTGCCTGCCAATAAATGGTGATGCTCTGTAATTTGAATATATTTAAGGAATATTTTATTGGCGTTGGCAAAGACTAATGTGAATTCTAAAGGCGCAAGAACCACAGTCGGATTTGAAAAGCGATGAGGTTTTTGCATTTATGTCTTCTAAAACATTTTATGAAATAACGCGTTAATTTATCGCATTAGTTTAAATAAATAATGAACCACATGTCTATTAAACTAACACGCAATTTATGTGTTTTTGTAGCTACGTTACCTTTCTTCAGTCTAGCAAAAGTCATATTCTATCAGCGAAAATAAAGTTTTTTAAGACAATGGTTTTAAAATACACGTTGTGCCAGTATGGTGAATTGAAAGTGCAAAACGTCAAACGAAGGTCGATCTTCCGTAACACGTATGAATTCACGTATCTGTTGTAACACGTATCAGTCAGTAGGATTTAGAGCCCAGAGCACATGTGGTCATAGACGGAAAAGATCAGAACAGAAGCATATTTTTAATATACAAAAATATGCTAGTGGGAGGTAGCAATACCCGGTAAAGAGGCATAGTATATAAAACTAACAATAAAAAAAGAAATTATTTAACATGAAATCTAGCATCAATTCTAAATGATGCATTTCAGATTTGTTAAATCGAAGAGAAATAATTTGGTTCTAAAAACTCCTTGATTTGTGAGATGCTACTAAGCTTAAAACTAAAATCTAGGTTATATTTGTTCTCTGAATTTTAAAATTTATAATCTTAGCATTTCAAATTAAATTTTTTTCGAAATATTTACTATTGTTCTCGCACGAAGCAAATACTTGCCCTTTGCTCTAACGTTATAATTGAAAGTATTTTTAATAACTCTAATTAGTTGATTTATACATTTTTAGCTTAGCTTAGATTTTAATCTAATGAATACAGAGCTGCCCGTTTTTGTGATTATCGAGCTGATATATTATTTTGAGCAATAAAAAGTCTCCGGTTTACATTCAAGGCTTGAAATCCTATTTCTACCATGTGTACGTGTGGTGCAACGGTAAGCATATCGAACCATGTACAATAACGATCCCGTGTTCGACTTGGCAAAGACACAGATTATTTTACAAAATTCTCTTCAAACCTCTTTTGGTTTTTACATCTGACTCCGAACCTAAAAGGATGGACGATAATTTATCAGTAAAATAAGATCAACTTTCCCTTACCGGTTGTATCTTCTTCACTCTAATCTTGCATGTTTGCAGGAGGAAATGCAAGAACTTAAAAGATCACCCATGTGTGAATTTATGATGCGAAAGTTTAACATACCAGGCCGAAGCACCGATTGTCACGTGTTCAACACCAGGCGAGGGTTGAAACTAATTTTTGAACACTTGTACCTCCTGTATTAATTCTATTTCTGCAACAAATATTTCTTTGTTTATATGATTATTAAAATAAATGAAGAAATGGGGAGATAAATCATGCTTTCAATTCTGTGGTAATTTTTGTTTCACGGAAAATTTCACGAAAAGCATAATAATTGTGAAATTTAATAAAAGTGCCCTGCAAATAAGCAAGAATAATTATAATGTCATTTATGTGCTAGGATACAATTTATCAGTGAAGATATTAAGATAGAATAGCATTTGATAGAAAGAATAGAACATGAAAAACCAGAGGATGTAATTTCAAATCTTGGATAGAAGAATTATTTTGTTTCTTTATTGCAGGATTCGCTAATGACGAAAAGCGTAATCCTAACAAAGTCTTTGTTTAACTTATTGTATTATTATTTGTTTAACTTAACTTTTATTAAAAATTTAACTTACTGTCATTGGTAGTATCAGAAGCTTCAAAATCATTCATAACGAAAGATAAAAACGATTGCGCAAATAAATTTAGATAGCTTTTTAAATCGTGACTCTACTTCATTACTCTAATATCTAATATCATGTGTATCACAAACTTGTAGCGTATAATGTCCGTTTTTACTGGGTGCTATTGTGGCGTAACTGGAAGTCAGCGCGGGTAGGAATTGGTAAATCTGGACTTCAAATACCAGTGAAGGCAGTGCACGTTTTCACATTTCACATCGATCTGTAGAGTTCCACGCGAATTAAAAGGTGACGAACGATATTCGTCATGACGAGGATGTGGCGGAAGGATCACCTCCTCTCCAGTTGCCTAGTTAGTGAAGGAGAATGTAAGGTATTTTCTTCTTCCTTACCTCGTGCCTTCGTGGTGTAACTGGAGGAACGTAGTTGACAGGGCCGAAGTTCAAATCCTGGCGAGGGCACTGCACATTTTTCACCTTTCCTGTGCCATAATAGAACTAATGAATCTATAACCTTTCAATTAGTGTAACTTTATTTCTTGCCCTAGACTTCTGCCGTACAATAAGTACATCATTGAAACAGCTAATTGTCAAAATTGTATTTTTGTTGCGTTTGTTTGATTGAAAAGAATTCATGTAACATGATTTAGAACTCGTAGCCGCTGAAGCACCACACATTTTTCGAGACGGCCATTTGTGGCCCACTAAAAGCATCTCACTTCCTTAGAAGGACAGACAAGAATATCTGGATTACGGCAAAGCACATAACAGCTATCTGCTTAAGGTGAGGAGTTTTTTTCATGGAGGAAGTCCTTAGAGAAACTGGCTCATATTTACGTTACATCTAAGAAAAACCATGAGAAATATCATATAACATTTTAACCAGAATTCGAATCGGGATAAAACTACCAATGTTCAGCGATTTTATAGCTCAGGAGCTGGTGCTTTAGAAGGGATAACGAATAAATTAAAAAGATGGAAGTTTGAAACGTTATTTATTGAGAGTAATACATGTATATCATTTTCAGTATGAACAAATATGAGTCAAATAAATCTCAAATTTTCGTTGTTTTAAGAAATTATCAATAATATCTTTTAGGGGAGTTAGACTTAAAATATGCAGGTAATTGTCTTTCTTCTGAATCTTATTTTTTATATTGTCTACAGCATATTATGTTGTATCCCACCATTTAAAAATGATCAGTCAAAATTAGTGAACTCAAATTAAAATCACAAAATCATGTACTACTACCATTACTAGATAAATCCTTTAAAAACTGCTAGAATATCTTGAATTCTGAATGCTATTTTTAGTAAAGTTTCCTTTTTAGGTCTGCAATAAAGTCAAGAAAGCAATAAATACTGCATATGTTTGCTGGAGGCCCACCAGCGGCCGAGCGGTAAAGACGCTGAACACTGGTAGTTCGGTCCGAGGTTCGAATCCCGCGAACGGGCTGGCTGCATGGGCGTTTCGTGGTTTTCCCCATGTGTAACGTGTATACGAGCCAGTTTCCCTTAGAAAGTCCTCCACGAAAGGCATCCCTCCCCTTAGGCAGATAGCCCTAGTGTGCTTTGCCATAATTAAATATACCACACCATATGTTTGCTGCTAGATGTAAAGAGATTATTAGGATTTTCACAACTGAGCCCTCGCTAAAATAAAATGTGTGATTTAACAGTTTCTATTTGAATGTGCTCATTCTTTACAGCACAACAGTACGCAAGAAAGAGTCCAATAATTCTTATAGTGTCTTTTATATGAGATATAGAATCATCCAGACTAACAAACTGTCAGCATTTTCGTATTACGTACATTTTCTTAAAGATAAAATCCTGTACTTTTTATTAAGAAGGGCTCTGAAACTGGTGATATTGATCAAATATAAATGCTGTTGAAAAGACTGCAAGAATAGATTTGGAAATTTCATGTAAGTATACACTCCTAATACATGAAATGGTCTTTTAAATGTTTGAAAATTCCGAAGTTAGTTGTAATTATTAACGCGAATAAAAACTAATTTTAAATACCATAAAATTATCTGAAAACTTACATTTTCAGATGATGTTTTAAAAAATATTAAAAACACATAATATACACTTAGGGTGGAGAAAAAGAATTGCTGAATTTAAATGTTTATGCAACTCTCAATAAAATTATCGCTCATTTTAAAAATCGCTGATATTCAAAGTATCATATAAATGTTTGAATAAAGTTGATTTTTTGAAATGAAATGACATTAAACAATTTATTTAAAAAATTGCTATAGATGTTAGTTCTGTTAAATATTTACTCTATTAATTATATGTTCTGTTAAATATATACTTTAATATATCATTTTGAGATGCCAAATTTCTTGTCTTTTATATTGATTGTTTGTTTGATCTTAATTTACACAATCTAAAACATAGAACAAACACGATCTTTGTAATCGTTATGCATTATTTATAAGGAAAATGTTTCTGTAATATTTGAGCTACAAGAATTTACTACATGTTCGTAATCTAACTTACTTCAAGAGCTTCTCTTTCGGTTTATTCAGAGATTTTAATGACGGCATCTCGAAGGATTCCCCCTTTTGTCCGTCCAGTCTCCTGTGGACAAAAAGTTGCAAAATTAATTCACGAAATTAAGTATGCAAATCAAATGTAAACACATCTAAGAGAAATGAATTGAATATCAAAGTTTCCTGAAAGATAAACATTGTCTAAATTATTCGTAGTCGTGATTTTCGAGACTAAAATAATTGTCTCAAATTTTTAATTTAAAAACTTTAAACATAATGAAAAGCATGAATGGAAAACAAATTTAAGAATGTTCCATTTTTGTAGGTGTTACAAAGAAAATATTTTATTATTTTACTTTCAATTTGTTTTAAAAGACTACATACAAATGTACCAAAGAAGTTATTTAGAAGCTATACTTAGTTTGAAGCCCAGTTAAGTTTGTAAAAGATTCCTCTTTTTCATGACGTAGATTTTCGGAGCTGAGTATTTTTTTAACTCCTTTACGTCATGACTTTGACTACTAAATGCTTTAAAACGCTTTATGATGTCTCACTGTTAATTGAATTACCAATGATGATTCAGACATAAATTCATTGATGATTCAGACATAAATTCAATGATGATTCAGACATAAATTCAATGATGACATTCAATGATGATTCAGACATAAATTTAATTATCTTATTATATCCGAGTAATAATGTTTATAAATATTATGCTGTAATAATCTTTTAAAGATAAAACATCCTTCATTTAATGTATTCCAATTTTATTAAATTAGTAAAAATGAAATTTTTGGCATTTGTATCAAACACGATCTAATAATCTTGAAGATAAAGACATAAGTTTTCTTGTTCCTGTTGAAGAGAGCCTTCACTGGGTTTCGTTTGATGTCACCTGAGCATTTTCTTAGAATTATCCTGAAGTCAATTTAAATTTTTTCTTTTGTTAAACTGTAAGCCATAGTACTAAGCATAATTGCGATAAAAACTCCAAATTTGCTCTGAATATGCTCATTTTTTATGTTCTTACGTATTTTTATAACTTTAAGTGCTACCCGACCGCGACAGTGGTTAACGACGCTAACTGCTGTACCGGAGGACCGGCTTCGAATCCCGGGGAAGGCATGGATGTTTGTAAACGTATAGTGTGTGTGCAGCAGGGGGAACTCAAACATGTGGCGAGCCAAATGTCCTCTAGAGAGATTAGCGGTAGGAGAAGAGGGATGGGAGATCCTCAGACCCGTCCCCTCGGGGTGCTCTCCTTCAAAATTGGGGGCGGAACTGAGCAAGGTCGTACTATCACCTGTATGGTGCCCAAAGCTTTTGCCAACAATAGGAGCAATCTTACCTCCTTGCCACGATGTTTCGTGGACTTCTGATATAAGATAACTTAGAGTAGTCACAACAATATAATTTTAAGTAAATGAAATTGTACTTATATAAGGTTCAAATACCGGTAGGATTCAGAGGGCTGGAGCTGGAGTTTCTAGCAAGCTTTTCGGTTTCGACATACCTGTAAGATCTTACTCCACTCTGATGGAGAACTGAAAGCCATTCATGTAGCTCTCCAACAATTATCATTGAGACAGAGCTCGTTCAGGAGGGCTGTTACTGTCTAATTCGACTTCAGGAATACAGGCCATCTCCTCTTACCAAGAGTGTAAGAACATATGCGTTCAATAGTGTCAGGAAGCCATAAAAGAACTTTCCCACAAGATATCTTTTCAATGGGTACCTTCACACTGCGGTATTTATGGGAATGAGATGGCTGATATGCTTGCGAAAAAGGGGGCTACGGTTCTCCAAAAGCCAAAAACGAGTGCAAGCCTCCATTCTATTAAGCGTTTGACATTGCTAACATATCAAAAGACTTTTAGAGATTTTGTTACTCGGGCTTGTGAGGGCAAGCCTTGGAGTGTTCTCTCAACAAACCCAGCTTTTGTTTCTGACCACCCGCAAACAGTTGCGGTTGCATCTTTTAGACTATTGACGGGACAAGACTGTCTATAAAATCATTTATTTCGCATTGGACTAGCTGATTCGCCGTTGTGTGTTTTATGCAATAGTGGACGGCCAATGACGGCGGAACATTTGGACGGGTGTGAAGCACTGACAAATTTTTCTTGTAGATTTCAGCGTTATTGGCAAGCAAGGAGTTTAATGGCCTAACGGTTAATGACCTAACAGCCTAATGGCCTAACGGCCATTTGACAAATAAATACTGTTCAAATTCAGAAGATGAAGTTACTTTTTATTATTAGATTTACCATTATAGTGAGAAATGATATGCAATATAACATACTGTATAAAAATGAAACCTGAAATATGTAATTTGAGGAATTTACGTATAAAAAAATTCCGCATTCAAAACGATGCATCTTTTAGAGAATTAACAGTAAGCAAGACAAAAGATAAAAAAACTCCCTTAAAATGTGTTTTAGTAATAAATAAAATATGTTACGGTAATTTTTCAAGTAAAGTTTAAAATATAAATGAACTATTGAATGCTTAACAATATTACATATCAGTAATATTCATATAACTTTGTGTTTGCCTTGAAAATATCCCAACAAATTAAACGAAAAATAATAAGCAGTCAATAAATGTCTTATGTTAAGTATATGCAAATGAGAATAATTTTATACCCATTCTCCGGTAGAAGTCAAGAGAAATGCTGGTGACAATTTATTCATTTACGATGATGTTGAAGTTAATTGCGGTTTAAAATATCCAGACACTTTCATTTCGCTTAAATAATACCAACAAGTTTTAAATGTCAGACTATTAACGATTCATTAGACATTGTGAGGGGAAAATATCCCGTTTCACGTTGGTAGTCGGGGATTTTCAATTACCGATGGGCGACATCATTAAAATGTTATCCGCGTAGAACTTTCCCTTATCGTTGTGTTGAATAACTCATGTCATGTTCTCTTCTTACGTTACATTCAGTAATTGTCAAATGATGCTTTAGCTATGCATGCAGAATGATCAATCATTTCCAAACTTTTCCATTATTATTTTCCCAGGTTTTCTATAGGTGACATTATTAGAAATTTTTTTAATAAAGAATGGTAATAAGGTAAATATAGATAGCGAACAGGATCTAATTTTGATTCGTTGGCTATCTATATTCCGTTGATGCGTCCGTCCGTATTAAAGAGCCGAAAAGGCTTGAACTATAAAGCACAATGATATAAATATAATACACTATAAAGCTTGAACTATAAGCACAAATTGTACACGAATAATAACAATTTACAATAATGAGTTTGGTAACATTTGAAAATTTGAGACAATTCGAAAGTTTGATAGCCTAATAGACTCATGTCCATAAATTAAGGATAATTCGGAGTCACGCGGAAATCGAACTCTAAATAAATATATCACCTGTAAAATCACTACACACATCTTCAAGAATCATATGCAAATTTCAGGAAGTAACCGCGTGACACCGATAGTACGTCACAATGACGAGAGTGTAAGAGAGTGATCTATAAGGAATACAGGCAAAGAAGTAAAATTGTTCGCAGGCGCTTTATAAGCATTTCAGTGCAATAACCGAATAGTTATGGCACAAAGGACGCATTTGGATGATTTTTTACGTGGTAGAATTATCGGCCGGCTGGAATGTGGGCGTATCCAACTGGAAGTATCAGACGAACTTGGAATTGTCCAGAGTTTCATCTCCAGGCTTTGGCAAAGATTCCAAGATGATGGTAATGTGAGTAGACGTTACAGCACAGGTCGCCCCAGAGTAACAACGCCGAATGAGGACCGGTATTTGGCAGTTACTGCCAAAAGAAACAGGCGGAGCACAGCCTCAGACTTGTCTCGTCAGCTCTCTTCAGCCACTGGTACGACAATTTCAAGGCAGACCGTGTACAGACGCTTAGGGCAGATTGGTCTATATGCTCGTAGACCTGTCAGATGCGTTCCACTTACTGCAACTCACTGTCGCCTGCGGTTAGCCTAGTGTAGAGAGCATGCATTGTGAAAACCGCAACAGTGGGCTTGTGTGATGTTTTCCGCCGAGCCCAGGTTTAGCTTGCAGTCCGGACTTTCATATGGAGAGCACCACGTACCGGTTACCACCAAGAAAACATCATTGAACGACACCGTTACGGTGGTACAGGAATGCTCGTTTGGGGTGGAATTATTTCGGGTTCCAGAACTGACCTGCATGTTCAAATTGGAACCATGACAAGCCAAATCTATCGAGACGTGATTCTGGAACAACATGTACGTCTGTTTCGGGGCGCCATGGGCGCACAATTTGTGTTTATGGATGACAACGCCCGTCCTCACAGTGCAAACATCGTAAACGAATGCCTTCAATCGGAGGATATCACTCGTATGGACTTGCCAGCATTCTCACCGGACTTGAATCCAGTAGAGGACGTGTGGGACAGGCTTGGTCGACGAGTTGCAGCCCGTCAACCTCCTCCTACATTTCTACCGGAACTTCGGAGAGCATTGCTTTTTGAGTGGTGTAATATCCCCCAAGATCAGATCGATAATTTGATACTCAGCATGCCTAGGCGTTATACGGACTGTATTGCATCTTCTGGGAGACATACAATGTATTAACAATAATACCAAACATGTAATATTGTTTTTTTGTAAATAGGTTTTTTTTGTAATTTGCTCCAGGGAGAAAAATTCGCTATTTTTTTAATAATGTCAAACAAATAGCATCTTTTTTTTTCTCTTTACCTTTTGTTTAATAAATAAGCTTTACAAATATGTCAAATTTGTTTTGCTTCTAACTCTTCCTTTGCCTGATTTTGCATTATCCTTAATTTATGGACATGAGTGTATTATATCCGAGAAATAACAATGATGATGATGATGATGGTAATGATGGCGACAGTAAGGAATTTGATGGTACAAATGAAAGGAAAACATTGGTCACGTTGAGAATTTCTTTGGAAAACTAAATATACTTTTAGAAAGTTAGTCGTTTAAGAATTGAATTTACTAAGATGGATTTTCATGTTAACACAATTCTGGTGATGTGAGATAATTTAGTACAGTCAACATGCAAAATTGAAATTTTTCTACGAGATCTGTATACAAGAAACT